ATAACAGGAGCAGCTTTGCAGCAAAATTGCTCAGATTCTCCTTCCTGGCTTTGTTGCGAGGCAAATTTTGTGGGGCACTGTCATGTATGCTAGCATGCTATCTTTTGAATCATGAAAATTTAATACATAAACAAAAAGACGTGATTCTCAATGTAAAGGTGACAGTTGTAACTATACTGTACCCAATCTTCCTGGATTCCTTGGAAGTAGTGCTTGCGAGGGCTCCTTCTGGGGACTCCGTTGTCGAGGCCTGCGCGTTAGTGTCATTGTGAATTATGATGTTCAAATCTGCACAAACTTGCAGCGTCATCATCATCACGTGCTGACATGCTCACCAGGCTGGAGATGATCGGATTATCCGCCGGGCAATGTGTACCAAGCTTAGAGGTGATCAGGTCTTTGCAGTCCAGTGACACGTAGACTGTCTGGAGTCAGGTTGTGTGTCTGTCTGGTGTTATGTTGTCTTGTGTCTGGGTCACTGTGTCACCATTGTCACTGGCTTACGATTTGGACTGGGAAGGACACTTTCTTGAAATTCTATTCATGCGACCTAAGGGAAGAAGTCAATGGCGTCGATGAGCAAATAAATGACTTCCCTTTGTGCAAATTTAGGAGAACATTTTTGAATGTTATAGTGACTTAAAATTATAGAAATAAATACAATTATAACCTGAACAGTACAAAAGCAGAAATACGCACGCTATGGTCTGTTCATGGGATTGGCGGGTTAACCCGCAAGATCTCCCCTTGTGGATGATGTCGTCGGCCTTGCATGTGACAATTGGAGGCCGCCTTGCGCCAATGACCGTGCGTCTGTGACGGGGCTCCTGTTAAATTATTTTGAAGATGAAGATGATTGTAATTCTTTAAAGCTAGGGCACTTAACCCTTTCATGCTCCCTGTAACCTGATAAAATGATCAACTGTCCACTGTAGTAAAAGGATTAAATATAAGTGCTGTCGAAAGATAAATATATGTTAAAATGCCACCAGGATCGTATTAACTTAAGTTGGCATTTTCCACAGTGAAAATTGACCAATTAAACGTAATTAGGAGCAACTCTTACTGTCAGTCTGCCATGACCCCTTCGCTCGCAGCGCATCTTAACGACAAAATGGATAATCCCACTGTTGTGTTTTACAGGCTCTCGCATTCATGTTTGAAAGCTTCTGCAAAGCCCGTCTGTGGTCTGTCTGCGTGGGAGGAGCCCGGATTACAGCCCTTGGGACATTACGGGCCACTATATGATCCCGCCACAGCAGCGACGGCAGCAGCGAGATATGGGAAACGTCACCTGAGAGTGCTGTCTCACGCATGTGGACGTTTTTAGATCAACTCCTCTGCGACCTGACTCCTATATGGGCTAGTCGTCATGTATTTGAACAACAAGAGCCACACAGAGCGCAACAAGAAGAACACACAAAAATGTAAGTGCGTGGAAAGTGACGAATTTGTGTTTTGTGGGTTCAACTGTATATCCTCCTTCTTTTTAGGGGGTCGCCGCAGACAACACCCAGAGAAAGTGTTCAAACGGGCATCCCGGAACACGGCAGAGACGAACCAAAAGCCGGACAGGAAGGAGATCAAAGTCGAGCAGGAGGTGGCGCGGCACACGGCGTTCTCCAAGGCGTCCTACGACCTGAGCCACTCACAAAGGGTGATGGATGAGCTCACATTTGGACGGCGGGTGGGCTTCTACGAGCTCAGAGGGGAGATTGGATCGGGGAACTTCTCTCGTGTCCGACTGGGTATACACGACTTGACCAAAGGTGAGGCAGGCTTCGCTAAATTCAGGCATTGGAGGAGGTGGGTGAATTCATTTTGTTCTGTCGCAGAGAGAGTGGCGGTGAAAGTCTTGGATAAGGCACGCCTGGACAAGCACTCGCAGGCGCTGTTGGCCTCGGAGATCTTATGCATGGAGAAGCTGGCCCACCCAAACGTCGTTCGCCTTTACGAGGTGGTGGAGACCTCCAAGCGCTTGTACCTGGTCATGGAGTACGCCAGCGGCGGGGAGCTGTTCTCCCACATCTGCACTCGGGGCCGCCTCTCCGACATGGAGAGCAAGCTGGTGTTTGCTCAGCTGCTGGCCGCTGTCAAGCACATGGTGAGTGTCGGCGCGCAACCTCCAACATGCGCGAGAAATGATGCAAATCGGGTTTTCTTGATGAGGTGATGAGCGTGCGTATTCGGTATGAGATGTGGTTTTTCTCTGTCACTAAGCAAAGAAAGGTCATGAAGATTGGGAAACGGTTACATTAAAGTGATATCAAAAGTTGTATCAACAATATAGTGAAAGTTAACGAAATTATTTATGAGTTGGGCTCCTATAAAGACGACACAATTATTAAGGTATTTTTCCATCATATTTTCTTTTTATTCACATTATTTGTATTCAGCATATTTTTTTGTCTGCTCTGGACATTTTTCCTAGTATCTGTAAAAATGACTTTTTAATGAGTATTTACATGAACATTATGATGACTTCATACATTTCTTAAAAATGTTTTTGTCTTACTATTTATCATAATTCTTTTATTAAAAAGATCAGGGAGGTTTTGGCTCTATTTTTTCCTTACTTTCTGATCAGTTTTATAATAATAATAATAATAAATTAATAATAATAATAATTATTATTATTATTATTATAATTTTTTTTAATTATTATCATTGTTGCTGCTGCTGTTGTAAGAACCTTTATCATTTTGTATTTGGATTTTCAGTAAATCGTTTCTTAATTTTGTTTGGTATGATTTTATATTGATGAAATTCATATTTTTTGCATACTATATATCATATTTATCGTGATCTGGTGTGGTTTAATGATTACTATTTAGGGTTTTGTATTACTGTTGTTTTTATTACATTTATTTTTTATTGGTTTGCTTTAATAAATAATTGCAGCAATAATAATAATAATAACAACAATCCAATCATCATAAAACATTTTTTGTCATTAAAAATTTTTTGGGGTAGGAGAGTGACTTTGGCTCCACTTCTGAACTCTTCTTTGCGATCCCTAACCTCATTTCCTCTTGCGGCAGCACGACAGCAACATCGTGCACCGAGACGTGAAGGCGGAGAACGTGTTCTTCACCAGCACCTGCTGCGTCAAAGTGGGCGACTTCGGTTTCAGCGCGTGGTGCCGCCCCGACGACGTGCTGCACGTGCTGTGCGGTTCCCTGCCGTACGCCGCGCCCGAGCTCTTTGGGCGCTCGGGTTACGTGGGCCGCCACGTGGACATGTGGGCGCTCGGCGTCCTCCTCTACTTCATGACCACCGCCGCCATGCCCTTCGCAGCCGCCAACGCGGGCAGGCTGAGGCGCTGCATCCTGCAGGGCTCCTACAGCATCCCCTCCTACGTTCCAGCCCCCTGCGGGGAGGTCATCCGGGGCCTGCTGAGACCCGTCCCCGCCGTGTGACGGAGCGCCACCTCCTGGACAACGGGCCCGGCCTGAGGAGCCCCGTCACTGGCGCCTACCGCATCCTGCTGCACCGAGTCCAGAGGAGGACGTCGGCGGAAGCGATGGGCTGCGGCTACGTGCGCATGACGGAGACGCGCAACAGACTCAAGCGGCTGGACGAACGCACCTCTGCGGTTTGTATCGTCATGTAAGCACCGCATGCTTTTTTTTTTTTCATTTAGCGCAGTGTTTATTTGATAGGCTGTAAAAATCAAATAAACACACGAAATCCAAAGGAACAGAAGCAAAGAATTGATTTCATGATCCCGGGCTCCACCCACAGGGATGGATTTTGAATTAGAATATGAACATAATGGCAAGGGTGACTGGACTTATGAGTAACCCCCCCCGCACTTAGCAGCTATTCAAGAGCTCGCAGCCTTGACGTACAAGCGATTTCTGGTGACAGTGAGCTCAATTCAACTTTAGCGTAAGAGGCAGTTTGGCAAATAGTGAACAATTCATGAAAAAAAAGAGGCGTCAAACTGCCCCTCTCACTTGAAAATGTACTCTCACACTAAAATAAAACAAAGAGAATTACACACGTTGCATATTTAGAAGTAACGAGCCAACAATTCAAAATGCCACTCGCATGCTAACGGTTAGCATTGATGGCTGCGACTGTTGAATACAAGCGGTGGAGTAAAACATGCGGACAGATAACACCACCGTATCCTTCGACAACTTTATAACTAAGTAAATACACATGAACATAAACCACACCGAGTTTGAATGGCTAAGCAGTTTTATTGTCACAATGTTTAAGCAAGCGCTCATGCTACACACAGTTCAGATTCACATTTTATGGTTTCCATTTGCACGTAAACACTGTTTCGTCACATCATGGTCACGCGTCGTCACAATAAAAAGTCCAGTGAATGCAAAAAAAAAGTCAACAGTGAAAGTCAAAACGTCGATTGCCTTTTTCTCCAGGAGGGTGAGGCCTCACTCAGCTGATCAAGCGACTCTTTTGGCGCTGTAAAAAAAAAACAAAACAAACAAACAAAGCTCAGATTTACGATGCACTACATAAAGTAAATAACGAGAAACGTCATGAAAACGGTAAAAGACCTTTGGGGCGGTTTTCTTGACGTGTTTGACGGCTTTCTTGTCGATGTTGGCCATCAGCTCCTGCACCCACGTATCTTGCGGGTCGCAACAGTACACGCGGCCTTTCCACATGGTGAAGCTGCAAGGACGAGACCAAAGAAGGCATTCAGTGGACGATCTACACTTTTTGAAATTTTGATAATAGAGTATTTCCTGGAGGGGGGGGAAAAAAAAAAAAACATGCGTCTGAAGTATGCATCAGATTTGTTCGGTGGGCATTTTCGCTATTTGACAACCGCCCCAAAATGAGTGTAATAAGAAGTTTTTTCCTGAATGAAAACTTTTCTAAATAATTTTTTTTTTTTTTTGGTTACAATTTTTTGGGGGGTTGATTTTTTTCCCCCCGCCCCAGTACTTTTACCGAATGAGCCTAAGCGGAATGGAAAACGGATCGCTACATTGGGAACATGCGCACGTTTGCGCGCAGCTGACTGCGCACGGGTGTGCTCGCTCACATGACAGCGCGGATGTTGCAGCCTCCGTCCGTCTCCTGAATTCTGTACTTGACCGCACGCGCCTGCGTCCTTTTGCCGAGCTCTTTCACGTACGTCAGGCAGCAGTCGTCGTACGACACTGAAACAACGAAAAATAAACATGCGTTGGATCAACAAAGGACACCGAACGGCTTGTAAAACAAGATTTAAAATCAGAAAAGTAGCAGTTGCTCCTGATGCTGCGTCATCAGTAGATGACTGAGGTCACGGTGTAGAAAAGCGCGATATGAGCGACAACGCGTTCACCGTTTACTATCGATTCCCAATCCACAAGTGGATTCCAGTCGGTGTAATGAAGGCTCCATGAGGACATGTCCTCCCTTCGCCCCACACGGGCAATAAACAAAAACCCTCATTAACCTTCACTTTATCTCCTGTGGTATGTTGCGTGTCACCGTAATAAAATAATAATAAACAGCTGGCGTGTTGCTGTTGTTGTTGTTGTTTTTTTTTTCCTCACCTTGTGCCATTGCCAGACTCAGGCAAGATAAGACCAAGAAGATGAGTGGTGTGTCGAAACGCATGCTGCCACTCGATCGATTTAAGGCTGCGATTCTGCAATCGGAATAATAAAGTCAATGGGTAACACGTTTATTTGTTCACCTGCGAACCTTTGGACACGCTCGCATTGCTTTAAGGAAACACTTGATGTTGACGGGCAGGAAATGTCAACTTGCTTTATATGAAATAATTCAACCACACCCTCAAACTCATTTTTTGATACTTCCTGACAGTTATACAAGTGTAAAGATAAGTTCACCACACTCTCAAACAGATTTTTAACATTAATAAAAGTTAAACAATAAGGTAACCGTTGTGAACGCTTTGAGTGTCCGGTTAATCTGATGCATTATTATTATTATTATCCATCCATCCATTTTCCGATCCGCTGATCCTCACAAGGATCGCGGGGAGTGCTGGAGCCCATCCCAGCTGTCTTCGGGCAGTAGGCAGGGGACACCCTGAACCGGTTGCCAGACAATCGCAGGGCACACAGAGACGAACAACCATTCACGCTCACAATCACACCTAAGGACAATTTCGAGTGTTCCATCAACCTGCCACGCATGTTTTTGGAATGTGGGAGGAAACGGGAGTACCCGGAGAAAACCCACGCAGGCACGGGAGAACCTGCAAACTTCACTCAGGAAGGCCAGAGCCGGAATCAATTCTGCACCTCTGCACTGTCAGGCCCACATGCTAAACAGTCGACCACTGTGCCGCTTATTATTAATATCATTATTATTATTATTATTATTATCAATGTTATATTATTACCTGTATAATTATTCACTATAAAGATCAATTATCTATGCATGCACCGTTGTAACATTTTTCAATGACACACAGGTTTTAAAAAAGTTCTAAAATCTAACTCTGGTGAACATGTTTTTTTAATTAAGCCATTTTATTTTAACTTGTGTAGCGCACAAGTGTAAAAATTAATTAACCAAACGCTATTTTTTTTTTGTCATTTTAACAGTCATAGGTTCAAAAATCAGTTACACATTTGCCATGTTAACATTTGCCACAGTCATACAAGTGTATAAATAAGTTAACACCACTGTCAAACTCAGCGTTTTGTAAAAACAAACAAACAAACAACAATAAAAGTTCAACACAATAAAATGCTGCTTTCTATGTGTGTGTGTGAGTGTGCGTGTTGCTCACCTGTGTGTTCGCCTTGCAAGCTGATGGTGTGTGTGTGTGTTTTACCTGCGCGGGCGAGGCTTTTTTATAATGGCAAAAGGGGGCCGTCTCGCCAGGTGTCGTATTTCTGTAAAAGCGCCTCACCTTTGTACCCCAGTTAATTTCTCTTTCGCTTTCCCAGAAGATGCGATTTTTCTTTCTTTTTTTTTTTCTTTCCCGCTTCATGACAGACATGTTGGTAGGATAAATGCGGTGTCTGTCCTGTGGTGACCTGCTGTCTGCCGACATGACATTATTGATTTAAGCGAATGAGGAAAAAGCTGCGTGGATGTCAACAAGTGAAGCGATGAGCGACATGTTGGCACGACAAGATATGATGGACTGTTTTCAATGCCATGTTGATTTTGTATTTTGTATTTATTTTTTCGCCCACGCAGCATTAATAATGATTGACGTTGCTTTTGATGTGATTGATGGTTGCATCATATTTTTAACATGAAATAATGTTATTATTATTATAATATTGTATCCCAAAGAATGCGACGTTATTGTCATGATTAATGACCATCGGTGCAAACATGTCATGTTTGAGCTGTGTGGCAATATTGATAAGATTGTTTGACAGTGGTGATTGTCATCAATGATTTTTTTTTTTTCTTTTTTTGAAATGGAAAATGTTTAAAACTAATTATGGTACTAACTTTTATTGTCTATCAAATCATTGGTATGATTGACTGGCAGTGGGTTTTTGGTTTTTGTTTTCCTCGAGGTAAATAATCTCAAAATATGGAGGCTACTCTATTACATCGACATTTATGGACGTTTCTTTTTCCAATAAGAAAAAAAAAGTGTGAATATGTGATGTGCTTTATAGAAATGGCGATTTGGGGGAGGGGGGGCTATGTGGCATGATTGACTGGAAATTGGTTGTCTTATTTTTCAAGAGAAAATAAAAAGAAACGTGTTGTAGTTTTCGAAATGGAGTTATCTTTGACTGTTGAGCATTATTGGCATGATTGATGGGTATCAATTATTGCTATGACTCCATGGCATTTATTTTATTTAATTTTTTTTCTCAACAGAAAAGATAAGATAAGAAAAAAAAACCTTTATTAGTCTCGCAAGGGTTTTTTTCTTAGTAGAGATTTTTATTGTGCTTCATTGAAATGATTCTTGATTCTTGACCTGGTTGATTGGAATTGTTATTTTTATGTTTTTAAAAAAGTATCTTTAAATTGCATTCATTCTAAATTTAGATTCAAGCCCACCACTTCCTAGAGTGACATGGTTAATGGACATGTTTTTTTTTTTTAAGTGCTGGGTTTTTTTTTGGATTTTTTTTTTTTTTCTTCTACTAGGGGTAAGCTAATACGGTCCATGTAGCTATCTTGAAATTAGAACCCTTAAGAGAAAGGCTGCGTCCTATCCAGTGATGCCAATATCCGGCCCTCGAGATCCCCTATCGAGCTCATTTTAGATGCTTCGCTGTTCCAAGACACCTGATTGAAATGATGAGGATTGTTATCAAGCTTGCGCGAAGCTTGCTCGTGAAGGGAGAATGTATAAATGCATTTTTTTCCACCCATACAAATGTAAATTTTCATCCCCCTTACATGGCATTATTGGCATAATTTATTTTAATTCATAATTGATAAGATTTGATAAGAGGTTTTGGGATCTTTTTTTCCAAGTGAATAATTTATACATTTTTCCTATGTCCGTTTGCCTATGTGGCATTATTTACAGGGTTGATTGATTTTTTTTTTCCCCGAGAGAAAAAAAAAATATATGCACTTTATTTAATAGATATTAGGGTTTTCCTAATGTGCATTATTGTCATGAGTGATTGATACTAAATGTTGACATCATTGTTTCATGAGAAAAATATAAATATGTGTCGTTCACAGAAATGTTTGGATTTTTTGTAAAACGTGTGTGGCATTATTTCCGATTAATTCGATAGACATGATTGGTGAGGCTGTAATTTGTTTCTTATTTTGAAGGGAAAAGTTGTAAAAATATCCTGTAACATGGGAGGACATTTTACATCCCTCCCATCACATTTTAAATAATCTCCACACAAAATAATAAAACATGCAGTTTCTGCATAAACTGACTTGCCTGAGACCAAATCTAAAAAAAAAACCAAAAAAAACCTAACAAAACAATGCTTAAAAATAATTTAAAAAATACCCACTCAGTCTAGAGTACCCCCCAAAATGGATTTTTTCTCCTGTCCCACCTCCCAATCACCAAATTTAATTTTCACAACCTAGTTAGCCTCGATTGAATGTCTCTCTTCCTCATACAACCCTGCTCTGTATATGATCAGAATAAGACTTTTTTTTTTCTTCTTCACTTATTTACATCGTGCTCTGCAATTGGTTGGCAACCAGTTCAGCCTACTGACCAAAAACAGCTGGGATAGGCTGCTGTGCTCCTTTACTGGGACTTAAGCAACTATTATTTGTCTTTTATTATTGCTATCATTATCGAGGAAAGTGTCGCAGAAAATCAGAACATTGACGAGTTGTTTGTCAAAAATTCTGGAATGACCCAGATGTTCTCGCCTGTGTGGGAATATGGACATTATTAACTGGATTTTTTATTTTTTTTTTTACAGACATGATTTACTAGCATTTTTTTTAGGGGAAAATGTATTGCATATCATTTAAAAATGCCTGAAATGAATGACATTTGTTATTGCTTGGCAATGATTTCTTTTCCCCCCTAAGGCAGTGATTCTATGTGAGTGTGCATGCTTCCTCGAGTGGTACGCGAAAGAAGAAATGAATTCACCGTTCAAACTGCATCATGTGACCGTGGCTTCAATGTTTTTGTTTGTTTGTTTTTAATCCATGACACAGTTCGGTTATATTTCACTTTTCTGTACGTTGCATTTGCATTTCTCTCTTTAAAACTGTTTTCAACCAGATTTTCCATGGTGGTACTTGGAGAGCCAAGGCTTATTTGAGGTGGTACTCTGTGTTGAAAATGTTGAAATGGAAAATGTTTAAAACTAATTATGGTACTAACTTTTATTGTCTATCAAATCATTGGTATGATTGACTGGCAGTGGGTTTTTGGTTTTTGTTTTCCTCGAGGTAAATAATCTCAAAATATGGAGGCTACTCTATTACATCGACATTTATGGACGTTTCTTTTTCCAATAAGAAAAAAAAAGTGTGAATATGTGATGTGCTTTATAGAAATGGCGATTTGGGGGAGGGGGTGCTATGTGGCATGATTGACTGGAAATTGGTTGTCTTATTTTTCAAGAGAAAATAAAAAGAAACGTGTTGTAGTTTTCGAAATGGAGTTATCTTTGACTGTTGAGCATTATTGGCATGATTGATGGGTATCAATTATTGCTATGACTCCATGGCATTTATTTTATTTAATTTTTTTTCTCAACAGAAAAGATAAGATAAGAAAAAAAAACCTTTATTAGTCTCGCAAGGGTTTTTTTCTTAGTAGAGATTTTTATTGTGCTTCATTGAAATGATTCTTGATTCTTGACCTGGTTGATTGGAATTGTTATTTTTATGTTTTTAAAAAAGTATCTTTAAATTGCATTCATTCTAAATTTAGATTCAAGCCCACCACTTCCTAGAGTGACATGGTTAATGGACATGTTTTTTTTTTTTAAGTGCTGGGTTTTTTTTTGGATTTTTTTTTTTTTTCAGAAAAGGAAAAAAATTATGCATCGATATTTTCATTTTTTTCTTAATTTTTGCGTGACCTGTGGAGAGTTGAAATGTCCGCTTGGCATACGCTACATGAAATAAAATGGGTCCTGTTTGGCCAGGTCAAAAAAAAAAAAAAAAAGCAATTCATTTTAACGATAAAGCAATAAATCACGCTGTGTCAACAAAGGCCTGATTGATGACGGCCTGTGAGGCCTGCACTTAACCTGAAATTTTTTTTGCCCTCATTTCTGCATCCGTTTATCACCAGGTGCACGTTGTGACTGTCAGGCCTGTCAGTTTCGTCTTCATTTTACTGGAACTTCGCTTGAGCTTCAGGACAAATGCAGCAACTGGAAATTATGGCTCATTTCCAGTGCTCCCAAACACCTCCCACGAAGTCAAAAGCCATCCCGGCATCAGCCAGACTGAATTGGAAGGCATTTCTTTGCATTATGATTTTTTTTTTTTTCCTTTCAAGGTAAAATGTATCAGTATTTGCATTTCTATTTGCCTTTATAGGATTTTTGCCATTAATTTTTTGTGGACGTTGTTGATTGGCTTTTTTTTTTTCCAAAGGGAGAATGTATAAATGCATTTTTTTCCACCCATACAAATGTAAATTTTCATCCCCCTTACATGGCATTATTGGCATAATTTATTTTAATTCATAATTGATAAGATTTGATAAGAGGTTTTGGGATCTTTTTTTCCAAGTGAATAATTTATACATTTTTCCTATGTCCGTTTGCCTATGTGGCATTATTTACAGGGTTGATTGATTTTTTTTTTCCCCGAGAGAAAAAAAAAATATATGCACTTTATTTAATAGATATTAGGGTTTTCCTAATGTGCATTATTGTCATGAGTGATTGATACTAAATGTTGACATCATTGTTTCATGAGAAAAATATAAATATGTGTCGTTCACAGAAATGTTTGGATTTTTTGTAAAACGTGTGTGGCATTATTTCCGATTAATTCGATAGACATGATTGGTGAGGCTGTAATTTGTTTCTTATTTTGAAGGGAAAAGTTGTAAAAATATCCTGTAACATGGGAGGACATTTTACATCCCTCCCATCACATTTTAAATAATCTCCACACAAAATAATAAAACATGCAGTTTCTGCATAAACTGACTTGCCTGAGACCAAATCTAAAAAAAAAACCAAAAAAAACTAACAAAACAATGCTTAAAAATAATTTAAAAAATACCCACTCAGTCTAGAGTACCCCCCAAAATGGATTTTTTCTCCTGTCCCACCTCCCAATCACCAAATTTAATTTTCACAACCTAGTTAGCCTCGATTGAATGTCTCTCTTCCTCATACAACCCTGCTCTGTATATGATCAGAATAAGACTTTTTTTTTTCTTCTTCACTTATTTACATCGTGCTCTGCAATTGGTTGGCAACCAGTTCAGCCTACTGACCA